ATTCACTTCGTCCAAACAACAAAATATCACTTCAGATCTGTTAATTAGAGTATAGACTTACTTAATAAAGCACTCCTTGATTATCTACACACAATATGCATAACAATTTAATCAAAGTCAATCACTAGTAAGCTTCAAAATGATTTTGTAAACAAAATAATACTCTATTTACAAAGTTAATGACTTCGCAAATAGTGTTCATATTATCATATGTATGTAATGAAGACAATGCTTATCGTATTGCTAAACGAAATCTGCTTAACAAAAGTAATATTAACCGACTTATAAGTCAATAAATTTGATTTTTCTTAGCTCGTAGCATATGATGCTAAGACAAACACTAATATTTTGTATGAATAAGATGAAGATGATAATAGTCATGTGGAAAATGTAAACATTGTAATCATTGGCGCTGTTTATCATTTTTTCCAGAATGAGATTTGTACTTCCCTCATACTAAGGAAAATTGGCGTAAAGACCCTGTGTAGGTTCTTTTCGATGCGTTTACAATTAGTTGATTATTAACTAACATCTCATTCCTATAGGAGTTCAATCTTCCCTTGAATCTCCCAGTGGTAATGTCTCAGCCTATGAAGCTGGATGACACTGATTCGAATCTGGAGTAATACCTATTTGTTGAGTTCCAGTTAACATGAAACACAAGGTTTCCTATTGAATACCTTCAACTATCTTACGTCTCAGTATAGTGTACATGATATTGAGTTACATAGACTAGGGTCACATTGCAACTTGACAAATAGGGTTTGATCAGCACTAAAGGACTAAACAAATGTGAGATTGCTCGCTACTTACTTATTAAACGTAATACTAAGTATGTTGAAAAGGCCTGAATTCAAAAATATTGTGTCTATAAAAGTTATGGAGAAAACAACAAACCTACAATATCATATAAACATGTTTGAACTAGATTCATATACTTGACAAACATTAAAATCTGATTAAATTTGTCAACTCTAAATGTCTGATTACTCCTATTTATTTTCCTATTGTTCAAGTGGTTCATTTGAGTATGCTTACATTTTCTAATCACCTGTTGAACTCGTGGCCGTCTGTTGAGTTTCAGCATAAATGGTTCCATAAATTAAGTGTTATGATGAGCATGATAGGAAGTTGTATGACTTAAGTAAATAATGTTTTAAAATCGCCTATGATATATTTAAGTTTATTTTTTATTTGATAATTTATATATTTCCATGTTAATTTATCGGGAAAATACATGTTCCACGGGGATGGTGGAGATTTGTAGTTCAGGTGGATGATTTTGGTGTTTTTTTCTGTGAGCTGGATGGTTATATCAATACACGTGGACAACTGCGGACACCCATTCGATTGGAAAAATGTGGAAATCTTAGAGGAAATTCCAAAAACACTAGAGAATTTTTAGAAGCCTGGCACTCAGGTCAATCAGCAATCAACAAACATTTTGAAATCAATACAATTTATCAACCAATCAGGAAAATCATGCACAAATATAGGAACAAAAATCAAACCAATGGGAGACACAACCAAAACAAAGAAGTAAACAATGACAAATTTAAGGTCCATAAGAACCAATCAACATCGAGGTGCACAGAACAAGCTGTGAAACACATATGGAGAAATTCGAGCACTTCACTTCTGTCTGAAGTTTGTGCTGATGATGTCGTTCAGAAGAACAATGAAAGCTCAACGACCAAACCATCCAGCTCAGAGAACAAAACTCCACCAAAATATATCTTGTCACTTAATAATAGTTCATTGGGTGATTTATGTCGATAATTCGGTCTCATGAGTTGCTGTCACTCAGTCAAACTGTATTGTAGCATATCAACTATCGATTATTATTATTATTATTTCTATTGATATGTCTTGTCGATTGAACGCTATATTTGTTTCCCAAGCTATTCCGATGACCCGCACGCTAGAATTACACAGCGACCTGAACACCAGAGAGAAGACGCAAGTATGAGAGAAATACTTTACTCCAAGGTTTTTTTGTTACAGAAAATATAGGGCTTTTGTAATATGCTTAAACGCCCTTGGGTTGCCAGAAGTTTCTGGAACGCTACTAAACATAGTAGCTATGTAGCAATCAACCAATCAGAATCACTACATGTGACGTTTCGCCCCCTTGACATTTCTGGCTGAAACGTCATATGAACGCTGATTAAAGGAAACGCTTCTTAGTGTTTCCTGACCCTTGGCTTGACCTTTGCTTGACACTTTGCGAGAAATTTGCTGGGTCATCCCAACACCTATTAGTTCAACAATCAAAATTTCGTTAATCAAATCGTAAGATCCTACTCCATAACAGTGGAGACAGGGTTTGGTGTATTTCATCTATTTATTTAATCATTTCTAAATGTCTTTTCATAACCGATTATAAAAGGCTAATTTATGATGGTTATGACGTGAACATTTTTATTTCATATTTCTTTACACCCTATATTAAATGTATCATTAATTTTTTAGACATTTCTTCATGTAACTATGTTGGTCAAAATTAATTGTAATTGACTTGGTGAATGATAAAAACGTTAAGTTTAGCGATATTAGTAACTAATTCTTCATTAATCATTTAAACTGTCTTTAACGCCCTATTATTTAGCTTTAATGTGTTGTTTTTTTGTGTGGATATTATAGTAATTTTTAATAGTTGAGATCATGACTCATGATCTCAACTATAAATATCCATAAAGACACCCCTTCTGATATTAACCAACATATGCTCACCAGTGACTGACTTCAAGAGATACTCCTGGAGTTCTAGTGAGAAGCAGTGCCAGTGGAGTTCAACCAAGTCTGTTATGAGATATCAGCTCACTAAAGGCAGTGGTGGATTGGTTGAACTTAGACATTAACACCGTTGGATACTGGCCGGCTCAGGGGTCTAATGGTTAAGTGTTCGCGAGCGAGAGTGATAGGCCCTAGGTTCGCATCTCGCGAGGGGCGGTATCGGGGAGTCCCACAATAGGACGAAACGGCCGTCCAGTGCTTCCAGGATTTCCATGGTGTTCTAGCTTCAATTGACTCATGATCTCAGCTATTAAAAAGTTAATATAGTTATTAAAAATCACAACGTTTATATGTAGTTAGAAAAAAAGAAGTACATTTAATGAATGCCATAACGAAGATGTGACTTATTTTATAGTATTTGTCGATAATACTCATTAGTTTGACCCGAATTTTTCGAAGTATTTTTTGTGTGACTTTTTACATTATTTCTTCGTAAATTTTGTCCATTCATGGTGTAGATCGAAATGCTTAGCGACCTAACTCAGATGTTATGGTTTTAAACTCAGCAAAAAATTTACAAATCGACATAAACTGTTTTATTTGTGTAGAACTGTGGAGATTGTTGAGTTTCAATTGAGATCATGAACTGATCATTGTTAGACCACTGTTAAAAACCTGTTTTCATAAAGATCATAATAAATTCCCTGTAGATGATTTCAAGCAAATAATTTTTGGAAGTCATAATAAAAATAGTTTGAATTTCACTATATTTTATAGACCACTTCATTTATAGTATGATGACCAATGGGAAGAATGTAATGCAAGCAGGCGGTTAGAAATAAACATCAGATAACAAGTGAACTAATTTATTAATTTTAATAATCCACAAGCAGATATATTGAGAAAACCAGCAAGACTATGGACGAACCAATCAGATTTAAGATAACAGGTCTTGGATTTTGGCGCGACATTCATTCATCTTTTTGATTAAAAAGCGTTTTGGAATTTTAACTGATATCAGTTCGTTATGAAAACTTTAAATCTAATTCCTAACCTTAACCAACAACTGTAAATCATAATCCTTATTCTTCAAATAGCTTTATAATCCTCATTTACCCCTAGTAAGTAGGTAGACACTCTCAAGGTCACTTTAGCGTCGTTCAAAGGTCGTTCATAAAATAGAGTCTAACCAAAACAACCTTCGAAAATCGATAGCTTTCTATTGTTTCATAACATTTTTAGGATGATGCTAGTGTTATACAATGGACGCAGTGAGTGAGTGAGCTCACTGTTTTTAATGGTTTATTGTATGTCATAATGATAGGGAGAGAGAGTAAAATATGTCTAATTTGTTTGTGTTTAGTCATAAATTCTTTAGAAGCATTAGTTACATATGTGAGTAATAGAGAATGAGTAGTGTCGACGTAAAATCCAGTTTTTTGGTTAGGGATAGTAGTTAATTTGATTGTGGTACTAATACTCGTCAACTAATATGTCTTAGATATATTTGAAAGCCTTAATTCAAAAACTTTTAAGCATAACCATGTAGTCAATGCAGATATTTACTTATCACTTCAGTCGTACAAAGTTTCAAAAGTATTTTACTTAAAAATTAGCTCGATAATATTTACTTCTATTTACAAAGGTGATAGGTGACATGTTTCGATATCAATTTGTTAACTTAATTGTGAATTATATCCCTCGGAAGTTTAAGGACGGGTTTTTACTTCTTATTTCAGCTTTTATCAGTATGGGGTTGTGGAGATTCTTATGTTCTTGATTGAGATCATGAACCGATTGACACTAGACCACCATTGAAAACCTGAAAGCACTGAACGGCCGTTTCGTCTTATTGTCGGACACCTCAGCAGTGCTCATCCACGATCCCGCTCGCAGGATTCTTGGATCTATTCATTTGTCTCAAATAAATGTATACACAAAATTATTCACCTCATTTTGATGGTATTTCAACCAATATAATAATTTTAATTATAGTAATTTAGATTTAACTACATATTCACTATATCCTATGCTACTTATTATAAGCTGACCTATTTTTGTTAAATTATTTTCCAGAAACTTCCAATCATTCTTAAGGCATAGAAACTAAAAAAATTTTAAATTAGAGCTCAAACATCTTTTTTTCATTGGTTGAATCATTAAATATTAATAGCCAATGAAATTGCAGCATGTTTAGTGATGTAACCAATAACCAATCAGATTATTTATTCAAATATAAAATACTTTATTTAATATTTAATATTTTAAAAGTTTGATCATACAACAATGGTTTTATTATTTATTTTGTTGGGTAAGAATATCAATCTTTTTTTGGGGGGAGTTGGTATTCTTTAAACTTTATTTCTATCTTCACTTAGTGTTGTTTTAATTGTCTTTTCATTGTTATTAGTCCCAAGTTGGCATATGTACATTCTGTACGGATTGCCTCGATATAGCCTTAATTCACAAGTATAATATGCAAAGATGAATAATGGATATCAGTGGAATCCATGACGCGCGTTTCGTCTTATTTTGGACTCGTCATTTAGATGTGCCTGCATCTCAGAGTTGATGTTCAATCTGGGACTCAAACTCAGTACCGTTCACTTCAAAAGCCATCACATTATCTACTTAGCTACTGAGTCCCGATATCCACTTTTCGATCCTTTCCTACTATGGGAAAGTGTCAACAGTATTCATCTTGCATCCCTATTAGTTAAAGCACTGAGAAATATTCATGTTTTTCCAAATGTCACTTTTATTCAGTACCGTACTCAAAGCATTGCCGAAAGGAAAGATTTTGAAATGACAAATAAGATGTTAATAAAAACGTAAAGAAGCTACCAGATAATTACTGCACGTTAAATATTAGATTGAGCATCAATTAAATGTTCGAGTGAATTTACAATTAACAATGTTTGATATTTACGTCTCGGTATCCTGTATGAAATATCTTTTGACCTATTGTAAAGTTGTCTCATTTTGTAAAAGATTTTGGATATCGGAAATGATTTGAAATGTATAATTCAATACAATTTATATTGCAAATGCTTGATATTCTATTACATTTATGATTTTAGGCATTTTACAAGGATATGCTCATTCGTCTGCCAAAACACCAAGTAAACATTCACTTTTCAATTACTTGTAATGTATTTGCTATACAGTTACTTGTAAGTTTTAAAGATGTACAATTGAAAAAGAACCACAGGTTTGCTTTCGGAGCGTTTATCCCTTGAAACTATAAAAAACCTGCAGCTTGATAAATCTATGGTTATCATTGGGACATAACACTTGTATATATTATGGATGCGCTTACAATAACCTTATACTTGCCTATATTTTTACATTATGAAGTATATTTTAAAGTTTGATTTGCCTTACTGGTCTTAATTCATTTTGTATGTAAAATAAACGTTGTAGAAACCAGTTTGAGCATGTTACGATTTGATAACGACAAGTAATCATTTCAAACAACTACGATAATATTCGATGTCAATTATGATATACCATTTGAGGCAATTTATTAACTTGAAAACAATTCTAAATTTTACACAATTTTTTAATATTTCTGAGTTAATAAGACCTATTTTTGGTATTCCAAGGTTGACATTTTCAAATGACTACATATGTATACAGCTGTTCTTTATCTTTTAGTTATATCACAAGTTTGTACTCAGTTTAGAAAAGTCGATCATAAAAGCTGTAACACTTTAACAATGAAATTATAAGCCTGTACAACAGTTCGGTTGTAGAACATTTTGCAGGTGATTTCTCATGAGTCGATGGAGTACATTAAAAATTTTGTCTCGAACAAACATATTTATCAAATTCGATTTCATGCAGATCATGTATTTATGTTTTAGGTTCTCAGGCCCTCACAAATATAAATCATAGTAAGTCAAACATTTAAATACTCACTATATTCAATATAGCCATATAGCTTATACTGCATACAACACATGTATAGGGTAGTAAGCGAAATAACCCAGCCTGAAGCGTTAGGGCTTAAATAACGCTTAAAACCCACTGTCTGATGTCGGAATACTATAATTAGACCACCAAGATCATTTTCATCGCATTTGCGAAATTTTCATTTTTCCGACTTTTCAGACCCTGAGTTAGGGGTAGTATCCCTGACAACCACATGGACTTCACCGGATCACTATACACAAAACCAAATCGACCATATTTGCATCAACAAAACGTTCAGGAGGACTATAGAGGACGTGAGAACCAAGAGAGGAGCTGATATAGCATCAGATCATCACTTGCTGGTCGCCAAGATGAAATTGAAACTCAAGAAGCACTGGACAACGGGGCGGACAATATCACAAAAGTTCAATACGGCCTTTCTTCAGGATACTAACAAACTCAACAAATTCAAGATAGTCCTCAGCAACAAGTTCCAGGCCTTTCATGATCTACTCAATGGAGAAGGAACTACTGTGGAGAGCAACTGGAAGGGGATCAAAGAGGCAATCACTTCAACATGTCATGAGGTCCTGGGTCACAAGAAGCACCATCACAAGGAATGGATCACTGTTGATACACTGGATAAGATTCAAGAAAGGAGGAACAAGAAGGCAGCAATCAATACCAGTCGAACAAGAGCAGAAAAAGCCAAGGCACAAGCTGAATACACAGAAGTAAACAAACAAGTGAAGAGGAGCATCAGAACCGACAAACGTAAATATGTGGAAGATTTAGCAACGACGGCGGAAAAGGCTGCAAGAGAAGGAAACATGAGACAATTGTATGACACGACAAAGAAACTCTCTGGAAATCGCCGCAAACCAGAACGACCAGTGAAAAGCAAGGAAGGCAAGGTAATCACCAACATTGAAGAGCAACAAAACAGGTGGGTAGAACACTTCAAAGAACTCTTGAATCGACCAGCTCCACTGAACCCACCCAACATCGAAGCAGCACCCACGGACCTCCCAATCAATGTTGGCCCACCAACAATTGAAGAAATCAGCATGGCCATCAGACAAATCAAGAGTGGCAAAGCAGCAGGACCGGACAACATCCCAGCAGAGGCACTAAAAGCAGACGTAGCGGCAACTGCAAGGATACTCCACATTCTCTTCAATAAAATTTGGGATGAGGAACAAGTACCAAGAGACTGGAAAGAAGGACTTCTGATCAAAATACCGAAGAAAGGCGATCTCAGCAACTGTGATAACTACAGGGGCATCACTCTTCTCTCAATACCGGGAAAAGTCTTCAACAGGGTATTGTTAAACAGGATGAAGGACTGCGTAGACGCCCAACTTCGTGACCAACAGGCAGGATTCCGTAAGGATAGATCGTGTACAGACCAAATCGCAACTCTACGGATCATTGTGGAACAATCAATTGAATGGAATTCATCACTCTACATCAACTTCATTGACTACGAAAAGGCATTTGATAGCGTGGACAGAACAACACTATGGAAACTTCTTCGACACTACGGCGTGCCTCAGAAGATAGTCAATATCATACAGAATTCCTATGATGGATTAAACTGCAAAATCGTGCATGGAGGACAGTTGACAAAGTCGTTCGAAGTGAAGACCGGTGTCAGGCAAGGTTGCTTACTCTCACCCTTTCTCTTTCTCCTGGTGATCGACTGGATCATGAAGACGTCAACGTCTGAAGGGAAGCGCGGGATACAATGGACATCTAAGATGCAGTTGGATGATCTAGACTTCGCAGACGATCTGGCCCTTCTATCCCAAACGCAACAACAGATGCAGGAGAAGACGAACAGTGTGGCAGCAGCCTCAGCAGCAGTAGGTCTCAATATACACAAAGGGAAAAGCAGGATTCTCCGATACAACACAGAATGCACCAATCCAATCACAATTGACGGAGAAGATTTGGAAGATGTAAAAACCTTTACATATTTGGGCAGCATCATTGATGAACAGGGTGGATCTGATGCAGATGTGAAGGCGCGGATCGGCAAAGCAAGAGCAGCATATTTACAACTGAGGAACATCTGGAACTCAAAGCAACTGTCAACCAACACCAAGGTCAGGATTTTCAATACAAATGTCAAGACAGTTCTACTGTATGGGGCAGAAACCTGGAGAACTACGAAAGCCATCATCCAGAAAATACAGGTGTTTATTAACAGTTGTCTACGCAAAATACTTCGGATCCGTTGGCCGGACACTATTAGCAACAACGTACTGTGGGAGAGAACAAACCAGATCCCAGTGGAGGAAGAAATCAGGAAGAAGCGCTGGAAGTGGATAGGACACACATTGAGGAAAGCACCGAACTGCGTCACAAGACAAGCCCTCAACTGGAATCCTCAATGCCAAAGGAAAAGAGGAAGACCAAAGAACACAGTACGACGAGAAATGGAGACAGACATGAGAAAAATGAACTAGAATTGGCTAGAACTAGAAAAGAAGGACCAGGACAGAGTGGGTTGGAGAATGCTGGTCAGCGGCCTATGCTCCATTAGGAGTAACAGGCGTAATTAAGTAAGTAAGCAGTAAGTAAGTATATTCAATATATTATTTAAATTTAAATCAATGTCAGAAATGGTTTTGTGGAGAATTTAGTAATTTTAATAGTTGAAATCATGAGTCAGTTGAAGCTAGAACACCATGGAAGACCTGGAAGCACTGGATGGGCGTTTCGTCTTATCGTGGGACTCTTCGGCAGTGCGCATCCACGATCCCGCCCCCCGCGAGATTCGAACCTAGGACCTATCAGTCTCGCGCGCGAGCGCCTGTGCTTCCAGGTTTTCCATGGTGATCTAGCTTCAATTGACTCATGATTTCAATTGTCAAATCAATTTTCCAGAAATTTTACGAATATTACAGTTCATCTAAAACTTGAATTACTTCAATTTATTTGCTGTCAATCATTTCATCTTATGTTTTCAATAGGCTCATATTCAGCGTAAGTACAGTAAAGATTGATTTCTTGGAAGCTCTTCTGTCACAATATTTCAGGTTTTTCACTTCATTAATAGGCCCGGTAATAATGAAACTATAGGGTTGTGGAGATTATTAAGTTATTGATTGAGATCTTGAACCGATTGATGTTAGACCACCATTGAAAACCTAGAAGCACCGGATGCGCACTGCTGAGTTCAACAACAGGACAAAACAGCCGTCTGGTGCTTCCAGGTTTTCAATGGTGGTCTAACATCAATCGGTTCCAGATCTCAATCAATAATGAAACTGTTTCGTACAGTATTTTTACTCATTCTCTAATAGTTCACTTTTAACTATTAAAATCACCCAGGGGATATCAAAAACTTTCGCTATTATAGAAATTATTATTTAGTTGGCTGAGATCACTTTAGAAGTTCATATATTTTGGAAGTATATATTAGAAAGCGGCTTACATAACTGGTCAGTTAAACGTAAGAATTTACATGAAATATATAAATCTTACATCATAAAAATACAGTTTTTTAAGAACTATATAAGGTATTTCTATTTATGTCCTAAAGATTTTATACAAAACTAATTCATATGGCTTCATAATAGCCAACATTGGAGGTATTTATACGGTGGCAGTAAAATTTTGCAGACTACTTCACTTCATCTTGATATATTAAGGTCGAATCCCTCTACCAGAGTTCATGGAGGAACCCCTATAAATAACAGATTTATGGTACTGTCCATACAGTTGAAAGCAACTATACATCATCCGTGTATACTGCAGTGGGTTGAAGTATATCTACCGTACGATCAAGAACCTTTATAAATGGTCCTTACTTGAGTTCTCTAGGCTAAATTCAAAACATCTATTAGAGTTAAATAAAACAACTCCTTAGGCATCCTTCCTTTACTTTCGCGCTCCTAACATACTTCCGTTAAGTATGACAGATTAATCGATTTCAACTATTTTGGACACAATCAAATATTCAGAATTTCAGTAACAATCTTTCTGAACTATATTCATAACTAGAATGTCACACTCTTCTAAAGCAATAGTCATTTTTACCTTCATTATCTGTCAACCAGTACATGATGAACAACATGGTTTATTTCAGTGTCAGCGTCGAAAGATGGAAAATGAGCAAGGTTCAATAGGTTTCTTGATTTAACGTTCATTATACTGAGACATGAATTAGACTAGATTACCATTATGTATATACAAAGCCATTTCTGTGTTTCAATAATAAATCATTGTCCTTTTTACCAAAACACCGATTTTCAAATACGTTAAGATCTTTCTTGAAATTATTCATTGTAAAATCAACAATTCGTCAGAAAAACCGTTCGTTTCATCAGTAACCCAGTAATCTAAATCGAATTACTAGAAAGTCTTGAGTTTAGTCATTTTAGGTTACTCAGCGCACAGTGTTAAAAGTTTTAAAACTATGCTTGAACAATTATCCACTGTTCCGTATTTTGGGTTAAATGTTTCCGTACAATAAACTGGTTGAATTTCATTCATTGGTTGTAAGCATTCGTCCAAGACTATGAATTTGTGAAATCGATAACCGAAAGTTATGCTAATTATATCCCAAATGTATGAATTAATAGAAAGGAATACGGAGCTTCAGAATGTTTGCCAGTGAAATGTATGTGCTATTGTAAAAGGAAACGTTTAGTGATATCGTAGAAATAATGAACAAATTTAACAATATTAAACGACAACCAATACAGTTATGTGGTGATTAAAGTATTGGTTTTTTACATAATGTTATTATAATCACTAGATATTGTGCTATACTTCAGTAAACTCTACAAACATGTGAGATCATGATTACTTCAGTTCAAACTGAAGTGGTACTAACTCATGATAGTTGTTTTTGTTGATCACCTATCCAGTACATGTGAGTACTTTTATCTCGACAACATTTAAATTATATTATATATGTATATGTATAAATTATAATGATTGTTATGTAAGCGATTAATTAATCATTAACTAAAACTACTGGGTTAAAATTAATTCAATGTATATGCACTCATTTATTTATTTAAATATATAAACATTGATACAAGGAGGTAACAAATAGATATACGCCACATAAATCATCCACTTTGTGTGAGGGCTGGCATATTGCCCAGGTGCCCAAACCGAAGCAGGTGGTTTTCTAAGGGGGTCACACGCCGAGCCTTCGACATGGAGATCTGATCCACAATGAAGTGGAGCAACATGAGGAGATGCAATCCCGTGGTAGCCGGTGACCAATAATTGATTCATACACGATCTATTTTCTTAGGATCCTGCAGCCCATGTGCACCATTGGTTTGGAATCATGGTTTTCCAACTCCCCTAGGTGAACACTTCGTGTCCACCAACCCGATTAAATCGCCGGATATTCGGTTTTTATCCTCTCAATTTCATAAACAACACCCCCGCTATGAGAAGGTAGTGAGTAGGACTTCCCTGGTAGTGGTTGTATGCGCGTGATTATGTGATGGGATTTCGAGAGGGAGAGCGGACTTTCTCCACTCTCGGTTGCACCAGGGCATTTGAGGGTCATAAAGAATGCTGAAGGAAATATATTACAAACGGTTGGTTTTTTTCACATCTGCTTGTTTAACGATCAGGTAATAATAACCTAAGCCTAACAACATACAATGTCGAAAATCAAATTTGTGTAAAAATCTAATTACTTATCACAGAAGTTTAATAAGTGTATAAAGCATTTGATGATGATGGTTTCATTAAGAAATTATAGTTGAATTATAGATGTTTACTATATGTGTATATAATAGCTACATTTTAACAATGTAAAAACGTAAACAAATAATGTTTACTGGAGGTTATTAACTGGTATTTTATTCAATAATGAAATTTCAGCTGAAGTTACACCTGCTGTGAGTTCAGGGTGAGTGAACTATGACCTTGACTCCATGAAACTTTTCGTATCACATAATTACAATTACTCAGTCCTACATCAATACATGAGACGATACTGGTATTATACTAAACAGTACTGTTTTGACTATTATAACCTCTAATAATAGCCTATTATTAACCTTTTGATTATGTCCCAATGATTTTATATTAGTCAAATGAATTAAATACAACGAATATGTTAAGAATATTTTAAGCGAACAACTAATAAAGGTATATCGACTGTAAATAACTGGTATTTTCTTTTACTTATTATTTGATTAGGTCTTGTAAGTGCTTGTATTTGTACTCAATTAAATCTACCATTGTAAATATTATCTATGAAATAATAATTATTAATGGTTGAGATCATGAGTCAAGTGAAACTTGACCATCATGGAAAACCTGGAAGCACTGGACGTCCGTTTCATCCTATTGTTAATTAAGTTATGGAACAATTATGATTTGTTTAGTACAGATTGTGCTTACCTATCAATATAATTTCGATTGTATTATCTTCACTGGAATAAAAGTTTGGATGGAGTAAAAGAAGAAAAACAAAACACTGTTTGATAGTAAATTCTTTGTTAGTAGATCTTCATGTCATGTGAAGATAAACCCCTTGAAAGTAGTATCTATTTTATCAATAGTAAGCAAACACATTTTCATTTTTTGATAGTAATGATAAGTTTTGTGATGATCTATACTATTCAGCAAGAAAATGATCTTTGATCTATCAAATTATGAATTGTAATATTTCAAAGAGGTTAAACATACACTTTGTGTATGAAAGTAGGTAAACGTTCACAATGTACACATCACAATTAGAACTCTGTTGAGGCATGAAATAGTCCATATTAATTGGCTTAACTAAAGTCTGATTTACACTATAATCCAGAGATGTTAATGAACTGTAGTTGAACTGAACAAAATAAATCATTATTACTTAAAATCAATTATTTTTGATACAGGGACTACCAAACTTCGTGACTGGCTCATTTATTTCCTTAGTAAGTTCGATTGTTCAGTTTATGTAGACAAGTTGTAAAATACTTTGTAACTATTATTTATATGAAAATCTAATTCGAAATGATGTCAGGACTCAATTTGTAGAAAGCTAATTCAGCTTAGTATAGAACTATTGAGCAGTATATGTTCACTACTCTTTTGTATTATTTTGTTTAAAGTGAGATGGTTGAGAAAGAAATACATGGCGCCAAATATTTGTACGACAGAATTACTAAATATATAATACATTCTTTCATTTTAAGAAGTTTCATAATTTCATGTGGATGATTATTTTGTATGTTAAATCAATTATATAAACTTATATTATTACAGTGTTGCGAATAATTGGCGACTAAGAAAATATCTGAGAACAAACCTAAATTTTATTTTATCACATTTCAAAATAGTCAATATTAAACTATTAACACCATTGGATGCCGGCTCAGTGGTGGAGAAGTTAAGCGTTCACACGCGAGACTAAAGGTCCTGTGTTCGAATCCCTCATGAGGTGTCATGGACGCACTTATGAGGAGTCTCACACTAAGATGAAACAGTCGTCCAGTGCTTGAAAGTTTTCGGTGATGGTCTAACATTGATCTATTCATGATCTCAATGAAAAACGCAACAATCTCCATAACCTCCATTCCGATGATTAAAACTAACAGTTTACAGATCTTTATAGTTGAAAGATTATTATCCGGCAAAACAGGAGTTTGTTGAAATTATAACTAGGCTTTTTAGATTATTGTCTTATTCAAGATTACTATTACTGAATTACTTGAATCTTTAAAAGTAGTTTGCTAATATACTGTTGGTGAATTTTACTCATGCAAAGTATTTTATTTTTTATCATTATTGTATGAGCGAATCGTTAACTGAATGCCATAGTTAAAATGAATAAATACGACTTTCACTGTTACATTCCTTTCTTTAATTTAAATAATAAAATAATGCTCTATGTATTTTGTTCTGCTGCATTGTCTTTTAGGTCTGCTAACAAAAGTTTTCGGTCCTCACAGTAAGAAAGATTAGCATTAATCATTGACTGTTCTCTGAATGAACGGTTGTGTTTTCATCTACCAGTACCTTCTCAGTCAGTTCAAAATAAAATCTTTAAATATGTATTATGCTCATAAGAAACCGCTGTAGTCAAGTAAGAACGTTCTTTAGGATTCGACTGAGAAGGATTTTCCATGAAGTTTATAGTGTTTGTTTTACATATTACTTAAATCTTAGCTAAACAACATTGTACTTCGACGGAAAGATTAATCCAACATGTTTAATTATGATTCTTTAGTGCCATCATGAATTGAATTGAGATGAATAAAATTAACTCGTTTACGCATAACATTAACGTTTCTCACAATATGTTTCGCTTTATTGTGAAGGTCAGAATAAAATTGATAAATCTGTTTGACTAGGCATGTCTGAAGACGCAGGTCTCATGAAGTGTTGAGTTTGAATATCTTATTCATTGAAAAATCAGAAAAACAGTTGCTTATCCCTTTTCATATATCTGAATATTAGTATAGTGGTGTAAACATTCGAAGTAAATGCATAAAAGTTACATATTAAAGACGTTTTTTGAAAACCATATGTAGATTTTTAGAGCAATACTTAACAAAACACTTTTACTACAAAGTCTGTAACTCTGAATTGACTCTTCACACAAATGTCTCTACCGAATTATCTTAATGCTGCTATAATCTGAATATTAATGATACGTTAATAGAATGATAAATTTATAGTGAGATAGTTTCATTTATGACGAATATGTAATATTCGGTAAACTATAACAAACTGTCACAATTGATTGATCACTGGGTGGTGATCAATCTCATGCTTGTCTAGTCTTGTCTAGCATTCGATCTGCACTAATAAGGACTAGACAAGCATGAGATTGATCACCACCCAGTGATCAATCAATTGTGATTACATCTCAGTCCTACAGGAGGTTCGTCACGGCTCGGATAGCTCAGTGGTAACGTCTCTGACTGTGAAGCTGGGTGACACGAGATCGAATCCGCCAGGGAGCACCAGTTCCCTCAAGATTACAGGTACACCTTGCTGACGAGTGCCAAGTAGCACGAAACCCGGGTCCAGGGTTTCCTGTTGACTACCTCCAACCACCATCTATAACAAACTGTGTGCAACTCAATCGGTGTTCGAAAGCAGTTTTATCATTAATCGGATCTAACACTACATATTAATACCACTGTCTCAACAAAGAAATTACTTAATAGGATGAAACTCATAGGTTAACAACAATCTAAAACATAAACGAAGTGATGATTTACAATCCTTCCATAATGTATTATGAATCATATAATTTTAAACCGATCTCAATTTGATCAATATTTAGTGATTATCAACCTTCAGGCTGTGGTGAAGAAGAGTTATTTCTTCAAAAACTCAAACTATGCGAATAATGTGCTGTAAATCTTCACATAATGTCTAGGATCTTATCAGATTTTCTTTTATAAAAAGCAAGAATAGCAACTAATACCCATGAAATCGTTCACATTAGCCTTAGTAAGATGCTTGATTTCGTTAGTGTCTTAGTGAATCTGAGTAATGGCCAAAAGTTTCAACAAACTGACTTTGTTACTAACGGTTTTAAATTGATTGATTATTGATCATAAGTTAACTAAATAATGATTACATAAATCTGTTCACGTTATCCTGAGTATTCAGTATGCAATGCTAAACAGTCTTTGTGAAATATTTTCAGTGTAAACTTAGATGATGAAAGTTTCAATATTGGTTATCTAAGTAAATATTAATGTCAGAAGGCGTTTTGTGGATATTATAGTAATTTTAATAGTTGAAATCATGAGTCATTTGAAGCTAGACCACCGTGGAAAACCCTGAAGCACTAGACGACCGTTGGATGCCGGCTCAGTAGTCTAATGACTAAGTACTCGCGCGCGAGACTGATAGGTCCTGGGTTTGAATCTCGCAATGCGAGATCGTGGATGCGCACCGCTGAAAAGTCCCACAGTAGAACGATACGGCCGTCCAGTGTTTCCAGGTTTTCCATAGTGATCTAACTTCAATTGACTCATGATCTCAACTATTAAAATTAAATATTAATATATTTGCATTTCAACATTTTAGGCGAGTTCATGCAAAAGTAAGTAAAAATCTTTGATGAGATATTACAATCCGCTGAAAATGTAACATGTTTATAACGGAGTTGATCAACTCTGTCTTCTCATTGTTCTATCGAAAAGATTATTTGATTGATACAAATTATTTGTGAAAAATATCTCAGGACATCGGCATTATGAATTAAGCCAGATATTGTTTTTAATAAATTCTCTTCGGATTCTACAATTAAGTATCTAAATTAATAATCCATAAAATTGGCCAGATCTAAGGCAAATACATCATTTGAAATTGTATTATATGAAGTTATGATTAATTTATTTTTGTATTGGTTGTTTGAATATTCCTATTGATGTTTACAACTGCAATTGATTAGTCTCTTATTGGCATATCTGCATCTTGTACAGATTGCTTTGATATTCTAAGCAGAGATTAATGATGGATAGCAGTGGAATCCAGGATGAGTATTTTGTCCTATTTGGGACTCATCAGCTGAACTTAGGATTATTCATAAAATGATGACTAATATGAAATTTTAATCTGAATGAGTTTATAATTTAAATGAACTTGTAAGATTAAAAGTCAAAATAAAGATGCTTAACATATGGTGAGAGAGATAATGATATAATTGCAAATCGAAAGGAATATTTGTTCAAGAACCATGTACCAATCATTCTCTATTCTCGTTCTCTTTTTTCTTTGATCTTAACGTTCTGCGGCCAGACATTTCTTTTTCGATTGATTATACATGCTACTTATATCTGTCGACATAAGTAGCATACATCACAAAATTACTTTACCATATTATCAACATGATTGTTATCTAATTAGTTCAGAAGTTGGCAAAGGCAAAACAAACAGTTGACATTATTTCTTTCGAATTCACAGGTCCGACTTTTCACTTAAAATAAGTATTACTTCGGCCGTTTAGAGGATTCTGAGTATAATGGATTTGAGTAGATATTTGTTAACACGATATATTACTATAGCTGATTACTCGTTTATACTAAATGAGCAAGAATCAATGTATTAACAGTTTTAACTATGCTTTAACTTGACCGTAATAGGAGATGCTCGTGAGAACAAAACTACACGTTCCTAGAACTTCTGCCAATATAACTTATTTGATATGATCAGTTGAATTGATAAATATAGAAAAAAGGGTTTAATCTAGTTAATTTATCTTTCAATATTTCAGCGACCATTGGATATGTAGAACACATTAAATGTAGTTTCACTGCATTGTTCTGTACAACTTTAGCGTTAACATTTCACTGGGTGCATCATTTTCAATTTGTAGGCGTTACCCATGTTACCCATCTTTATTCTAATCAATTGTCTTACAATTTTATTTATCACAAACTTAATCAGGTTTAACTTTCATATTAGTTATCAACAAGCATCAACAATTTTATGATGTTTTGTAAACAATCTCTAGATTAATATGCTACAATTTTAAATGTCGTATTTGACTTAAACATGGACGCTTTCAGGATCATTATTTTGAATACAGAGTTGTATTGTTTATTCGTATATCTGTGTTCTAAATCAGACATATGTAATTTATAACATATATACCACAAATAATAAAGAAACCAATGCCTCTGTGACAAATATTGTCGTTACAGATATACATATAGGTCGGTTTATATCAGAAAGAAATACTATCACAGCTTGATGAATGCGTTGAACAACTAATATAATATACATATGTTTCTCATATATGCTCGTGCAATGTGAATGTCACAACATATTTTAGTCGATATAGTCGAAATGCGATTTTTGGGGGTTTTCTATACATAGTAGCTGAATGTTTTTGATATTCAGCGAATAAAGCATATTGGGAGATTCTAATAACCATCATTTTGCTTATAAGAGTATTTGAAAAACAGACTATTATTACTAAGCAAAAATGGATAGTGGCTAGCAGTGAAATCCAGAACGCACGTTTCAATCAATTTGGGACTCATCAGCTGGGTGTACCTGCATCTCAGAGTTGATATTCACTCTGGGACACAAATTCAGTACCGTTATCCACGTTATCCACTTATCTACTGAGTCTTGATAGCCATGAAACACGCGTCCTGGATTTCATTGCTGATTGTTTAATAAAGTAAGTATTCATTTTGAAAGAGGTAAATTTGCATATAATAAATGTAATTTTTGATAATGTTCCCATCTTTATTATCTTGATTATAATCAATTCGGTTATTCTTTTTGTTTTCTTTTCAAAATCAAAGACTTTGTAAGTTCCTTGTATTCTATTGATTGAATTGATGAAGTACAGGCGCAACATTTGGTGTAGTACAGTAAAAAAACACAACAAAAATAAACAATAAACACATGGTATACACATGTATGAAGATGTGCACATCACAGAGGTCTTGCTTTGTGACCACATTATACTTTGATTATTCTGTTTATCACAATTGTTAGTTAGGTGTGTTCCATATATTATAAGTAAACAATACAAAATGTCTATTTACGTAACAATTGTCATCTTATACATTGAAATAGCCAGTAATGTGTAGTAATGTACAAGACTATTATAGTTGATTTACTTTCTTTTAATAGTATGATAAATATCAATCACTGAATTGTATCTTTATACACAATTAGACATAATGCAAACAAAATATTGAATTCTCTTTCATATAAATGCATAGTAGTAAGTTACAACCTAAAAATGAATGAAAGATCTGCATTCAGCAACTTTCCATACAAGTTGTACATTTTACCTTGTGCAAATAAGATTAAAAATATACAGGTTTTGTTCAGCAACAAGATTCACTCTATATAAACCCTCTATATTAACATGAAATTCCTGCGAATAAGGCATAAGTAATCAACAGTACTGAGAGTTGATATCTCACAAGAAAACACACTATATTCCAAATTGCAAACCATACACTTTATAAGCGAAGATGTATGATGGCTAGCAGTAGAATCTAGGACGCTCGTTTCGTTTTATTTGGGACTCGTTAGCTGGATGTACCTGCATCTCAGAGTTGATTTTCACCCTGGGACTAAGTAGATAACGCGATGGCGTTTGAAGTGAAGGGTACTGGATTTGAGTCCCAGAGTGAACGCCAACTCTGAGATACAGGGACATACAGCTGACGAGTCCCAAATAAGAGGAAACGCGCTTCCTGGATTCCACTGCTAGCAATTATCCATCTTTACTTCTAATGTGTTTAATAAAATGAACAAAATTACGTAGTTCATATTCATAGGTCATAGTTTTCATATTACCCCACCTATTAATTTATACAGCGTTTGTTTTAAACGGTGATTTCTATAAAGTATATCCTTATTTATTGTATAAGTTGTAATTCAAAAGGATTTATATATAAGCTTTCTATAATGTACTGATGTTTGCAATATTATTCCTGATGCTTTCAATTTTCTTCAACATTATAGTGGGTCTAGTTGATAAGACGTAAGTAGAATGGGCTAGAGAAAGTTTTATTTTCATAAAAGTTAATTTACAATTGCACAAAAATATTGTTATATTGTCGTCTATGCTACTTATGATGACAGATATAAGTAGTATGTAGCAGCAATCAAGATTGGAATGCTTGCTAGCAGAAGATTGAATTCAAGGGAATAGGAAAGCAAACAGAGAGCAATTGTAATAACGACAGAACTAGAGGAATAAGTGAGTATGTGAAGGACAACTGAAGGTAGATGTGCAAATAATATATGGTTTCAAGGAGCACTGTAATTTCCCCATCTGAATCCTCGTTTTTTTTAATTATATGAGTTTTGAACGAATATTTTATCCATCGATTGTTCATTTATCTTAAAACATTTATATGATGAGCAAAGATGGATAGTGGCTAGCAGTGGAATCCAGAACGCGCGTTTCAATTTATTTGGGACAAGTCAGCTGGATGTACCTGCATCTCAGATTTGGTGTTCACTCTGGGACTCGAGCCCAGTACCGTTCGCTTCAAACCCCATCACGTTGTCCACTTAGCTACTGAGTCCTCATAACCACTTGCTTGTGCGATGGGGTGAAGCTTAATTCATTTGGTATTGTTTTATTTGAACCTTCCCATTGATTTTTAGGACTGCGATTGATCAGTTGAGCGTTTTCAATCATTGTCTCAGTGAATTGTTGTAAATGTATCAAAGGATATTGATAAATATTTGTAACATATAGACATTGGTCTTATTTGACTTTGATCAATTAGATACAAATGCTAAGGAAGGCATTCACAGTGTTGTAAGAAGAGATATTTAATTAAATGCTTATATGTAAAAATATATCTACATTGCCAACTAATGGCTATTTTTATACCGTTGTTTAGCCAATCTCGACTTCAACAACTTAGATACAACCTATGGGTTTCAAATAAGCTTCTATCGTTTAGCCTAATATATGCAAAGCATGTAATCACCATTTCTGTTAACTGTGAAATACTGTGTGATTGTCAGACTTCTTTCTTGTATATACACAATCAATGTAATAAACCTAAGCATGTTTAAATGAATTTAACCTAACAATAACTAAAAATCATGATTTTATTAGTTGATCTTCATGACGTTTTGCATTAGCCTGATGTCAAAATCGAAGTGATCAAATAAGCCTAATAAAAGCCTATTCAGACAGATCTATAACATTCTAACTTAAACCAGATATCCATCGTCGAGTAGAATAGACTGTCTAACAGTATTCTCCATCCAACTCTGTCCTGGACAATCTTATCCAGTTGTTTTCAGTTGCTATTCATCCTTTTGATGTCAGCTTCCAATTCCCGATGCAGTGTGTTCTTTTGTCTTCCTCGTTTCTGCTTCCTGTCAGGAATCCAAGTGACTTATGCCTCGTGATGCAGTCTGATGATTTCCTATCCACTTCAAACGTCTTTCCCTAATTTTCACCTCAGCTGGAAGTTGGTTTGTTCTTTCCCACAGTAGGCTGTTGCTGATGGTATCCGGCCAATGGATGTTGAGTATCTTGCGTAGACAACTGTTTATAAATACTTGTACCTTTCTGATGATGGTTGTGGTAGTTTGCGAAGTTTCAGCTCCGTACAATAGAATTGTCTTGATGTTCATACTGTAGATTCTGACTTTGATATTGGTTGACAGTTGTTTTGATTTCCATATGTTCTTTAATTGTAGGAATTCTGTCCTTACTTTGTCAGTTCTTGCCTTTACGTCTGCATCAGTATAACTTTATAAACTGTTCATAAATTATATACATCTCTTCTACATTTATGAACATGAAGAAAAGTAATGGAACTCATAGTTTGTTCTTTGAACAAAAGTCTAATTGTTGTCCAGATATATTTTGGTTAATGTATCCTACTTTATAGACATTATATAAAATAAAACTGATTTAAAAAATATTTATTTAACATTACAATTAGTCTCTGAAACGAACTTTTTTCTAATTCTGCAGAACATCCGTTTCGTAAGTACTGATGATATTTATGTCATTATGTTAATTAAAATATCACTGTCAAAGAACAAGCACGAACAACTACATTATACATTAATCAGTTTACGCTACGTTGATTCGGATTATTATTAGTGATATAAATGTATAACTAATCATTAAAATAATTTTTTTTCGTTTCAGCCTGAGTGAGTTAACAAGACAACGATTATATAATTATGCTACTCTGCTAGTATATGTAAAGCAAAATGTATTGATTTGAAAACCATAAGGATTGTACATCTTAAACCTTAAAAGTAAAGATGAATTTTGGCTAGCAGAAGAAGAAAGGACGCGCATTTCATTGTTTTTGGGACTTATCGTCTGGATACAACTCCATCCCAGAGTTGATTTTTACTCCAGGATTCGCACTCAGTACCACTCTCTTCAAACACCATCGCGTTATCCGCTTAGTCTAGGGATGCAGCAAGTACATCCAGCTGACGAGTAATGAGTGTGACGAAATACGCGTCCTGGTCTCCACTGCTAGCCACCATTCATCTCGGCTTATAATACTTGTGAGTTAAGGTAATATCGAAACAATCCGTTCAGGATCCACATATGCCAATATGAGACTAATCAATTGCAGTCGTAAAAATCAAGGGGAATATTGAAACAACCAATACAAAATGAATTTCTCTAAAACTGCTTAATCAGTTTCGAAGAAACTAATTCATGTAAAACTGACGTACAAGCTTCTAATTTAGTTCCTAGATTTATATATTTATTCTGAAACACGAAACATGTGTAGATAATTAATTTAATTTTAACAGTTAAATTCATGAGTCGATCTATGATTGATCACCACTAAATACTTGAAAGAACTGGACGGCCATTTTGTTACTAGGCCGTCCAGTTCTTTCAAGTATTTAGTGGTGATCAATCATAGATCGACTCATGAATTTAACTGTTAAAATTACTACAATCTCCACAAATCCACATTCTTATAATCGATTTAATGTTTAACAATACACAAAACAATAGAAATCTATTGATAAGTAGTTCTTAATTAAAGGTCTAAACCGAAAGTTGACTATCGAAATTTCAAAACTCTCAGTATCATAACACTTGATTGTGTAATTGCAATAAAGTTCCCCAAAATATCTTATTATAACTCAAGAGAGATTATACTAATGAAGATGATACGATATGCTTATAATCAGAACATGTTTTTGTATAAATGTATGAACGAACCACAGAAACAGTTTCGTGTACAATAATAAGTTATATTGTGTAAATTTCTTGCTGCGAAATTACGTACTTCTTTACACTGTTTATTCTAGCTTTCCATGTAAGTAATTCAGAAGTCGATTGGTGGCCTGCTTGAATATCTGGGCTACCTGTTCCTGTCATCTAGATATTTCAACAAATTATCTATTTCCTTATTGGTTTTAACAAACCATTATGTTTGTTGTTCAGCTAATCTATTCAGGTGCCTTTATGAAAAGTATACAACTTTGCGTTATACAAGTTACAAAAAAGTCTGATCAGAGACATCATGATTTTTGAGAATATGCATCGAAAAGAGTGTACATTATTCAGATACCGATTTCTGAAACGCTAACTTCTGACTGGTGACCACTCAATATTTATCGTCAGGATTGACCAATGAGTAAGATACTTGCTGAGATACTTTGTGCTGAGAATTCTATGTTGCACCAAGAATATAATATTGCATAAAGCTAATAATAATAATACTTACCATAATAACTAGTCGTATATATATGTAGATGATGAATAATTAAATTTGTAATAGTTTCATAATAATAGGATATCGAATGTTTAAGCCTCAATTAGAGATGATAACTAAAAAAAATCACAAAACGTATTACAGTTAAATCGATTGCATTTAGGTAAAGTTAGAACCTATCATAGAGTATTAGATTATAATTGACTGATAGGTCCTGGGTTCGAATCTCGCGAGGCGGGTTCGTGGATACATACCACTGAGTAGTTCCACTATAGGACGAAACGGCCATCCAGTGCTTTCAGGTTCTCGATGGTGGTTTAGCTTAGATTGACTCTTGAATTTAAAAAAACCTTCTTCTGATAACAAATAAAATTACTTGCTTTTTGTATTCAAATTGGTAGCAAGTTTGTTAAACATATTGAACATTTTTATTTATAGTTGACCTAAGCATCGGAAGAGGTTAGTTAAATAACTATGATTACTACATATTGCTATTTGGCTGAGTTTCTATGGATTTCGATGGTTTTGTAACTTATAAAGGTTTGTCATATTGTAGACTTAACTCCTTAAAAAAAATTGAAGAAATATGTAGTTTACCTTAGGAAAAATTGTCTTTTTGCCAAAATATAATCACAATGAGGTTTGATCGGAAGAAAGAATTTCTAGAATTGTATAAACAGAATAAATATGAGTGTCAATTACTAGAACGTAGAAACCAATGTGAGGTTGTGTGATTATAAGTAGTATAATAATAATGTTAGCAAAATCCTATATGTAAGGGTATGAATTGTTTACCAAGTTATAATTATAAAAATGTGTGTAGATGATTATAAGATCTACGGACAAGAATCTGTTCTTTCAAGCAACATTACGTAACTTCATGCGTTTATTCAAATTTCTTTTGAATTGAATTATCAATTTATACAATGTTGTGTAAAGGCTATAAACCATGAAACTCAAATAATGCGGCATAGTGACTAGTTCAATGGTTTAATGTTAGTTTGTATGTTTACAAACAAATGTATTCAAAAAGTACATATATCTGCTATCAATAACTTTAGCGGCATTATTCAGTATACGACTATTTATAGAGTTTCTTCTTTGTAATATCATACTAAATGTTTACAGAGAATGATGATAGGAGTTCACAAAAAGGAATTATAGTGTTTCTTTCGTCAGAATACATCATCTTATTGAGAAATTTTCTAAAATCTAGTTTAGCCCACATTGTGATCCCTGATAGTTTATCATAAATATACAAAGTACATCCGAAATGATGTCTTGAAGCTACTAACGTCATGATAAATAGAAAAAAACACGATTTACTCAAATACCAACATAATTTCCTGTGTTGTTGTATCGAAACTGTCAGTTAGCCAGTCAGTCAGCAACAGCGTATAACATCGTACGTACGTACATCAGTTCGAGTTGCCATACCATATTTGCACAGAGATACGACTGTCGATTCGAATCCTGTAACGACAGAGGTAGTAAAAGTATAAGCAGTCATCGGAACGATTATGGTTTGAAGATATTATTGAAGGAGTGTAATCCAGTGAAATAAATTTGGAAAGAGGAAAAAAGGGACATGGAGGATTCAGAAGATTAAAATTTGGGAGAACACAAAGTGTGGATGCACCTGCGCCATTGCAAACGATTTTGAGCCATGTCATTCAGCGTATCTAACCATCGGTTGCTATCATCTAGCGGTCCCCAACCAGGTAGTCTACACCTACCAACATGACTCAGTCCACTTGTCAGTGACTTCATGGACTTGTGCCATGTTTTGATCTAGCCGCCCCTAGCTTTCTTCCAACCTACTCATATACCATTGAACATCGCACGTCGAGGCAGTCGGTCGTTGGGCATACGTAACACGTTTCCCAGCCATCTCAACTGATGAGGTTTCACCACTTCATCAATTGATTTGCCATCCTTACCTAGTACCCGTTTTCTAACAACTGCATTACTTACTCGATGGTCCCAGGATATACGAGCAATGTTTCGAAGACACCTATGATCGAATACTAGTAGTCTACAAATATCCTCTACTCTTACCGGCCATGTTTAACCACCATAAAGACGGAACGAACTGCTACCCAGTAAAAGGATATCTCGCCTACGCCATAAATGACGCAAGTTGGCAAAAGCTAGTCGAGCATTCTGTATCCGTGCTGAGATTTCGTCACACACTAAACCACAAGGGCTGATGAGACTTCCAAGATAAGTGAAGCGGTCGACACACTCAACTACTTCACTCCCTATCACTAGTTCGGGTGTCGATGTAATCCAATCCTGAAGCAACATTTTGCATTTCGAGGGAAAGAATCGCATCCCGAACATGCTTGCATTGTTGCTTAGAGTGGTTAGAAGACTCTGCATTTTGTCAGTGTCTTCACCAAATAAAACGATGTCATCAGCATATTCTAAGTCAACAAGTGAACCTCCTGGTAGAAGTTCAACCCCTGTATATTTAGATGAGGAGTGTTATCTCTAAAAGTACGTCAATGACAAAGTTGAACAAGAATGGGGAGAGTGGACAGCCCTGACGAACACCACTTGAGGTGATCAATTCTGATGACAGTTCGCCATAAGCTCTCACTCGACCAGTTGTGTTCGAGTAGAGAGCCTTTATAAGGTTAATGTACTTCTTTGGTACTCCTTTCAGTGACAAACACTGCCATGGAACCTCACGATCAATCGAGTCGAATGCCGCCTTAAGGTCGAGAAATACTACGATTGTGGGGCGTCTGAATGTGTGTCTGTGTTCTAGAACCTGACGTAGTGTGAATATCTGATCTATACAACCACGTCCAGGTCGAAAACCAGCCTGGTTTTCTCTAGTCTGCTCTTCACGAGCTTTGGTTAGGCGTCGAAGTATTATTGAAGCTAATATTTTAGACACTATATTAGTCAAACTGATTCCCCTGTGATTGTCACAAGAGGACTTTTGTCCTTTCTTATAAACTGGCACAATCAGTGATTGAGACCAGCCAGATGGGATTAAGTCCAGTTCCCAAATTCTACCTATGACCTCAGTCAATCTCACTGCTAATACTGGGTCGCCATCCTTAAAAATCTCAGGGGTATCGAAACTGTAGTCTGATACCTATACAGGAATACACGCTAATCAGATAATTGAACCCGGTTTTATAATTACTGACAAATGTGACCCGTATAGTTGCAGGATGATCCATACATTTTATAGCTTACCACATACTATTCATTTTTTATTTCAGGAATACGAACAACGTGCAATGTACTTTTTCGAGAAGGATTTGGATATATTTGAAATAATTGGAGTTATGATCATTAAACTACACTTTTTATATCCTGAATTTTGTTAAACTACCTACATGTTTCATGATGCAACGAAGTTAATATAAACCAATGTCTTTGATATGGTTTTTGTTATTACAAACTATAGTAAGATAAAAAGAAACTTGTCATAGTTAATTAAATAGAGGATATTAAGTTCGCTACTTGATTAATGCAGAATACGGCATACAGCTACGGCACTCAAACGTATAGAACCCCATAGTCACAAATCAGAAGACACAGGAAGACTGGAGAAGTGCCTTTTGGCTAAGGATCTAAACGTACGGAAAATTATGGGTATTTTTAGATATTAGCGTTTGTTTTATCAACATGATAATTCAGCCAATCAGCAAAGAGGCATGTCATACTACTGCCCAATAGTAGCATGGCGTTTTGATATACTAGAATGTTCCATCACGTTCTGAATGGATGGAAACTCTTCGGATCCCTTAGGGCCTCTGAAGACTTGGTCGAAGTTCTCGGAAGCTGTCCTAACAGAAGACACAGTATAATTTGGATTTTTTTTCAATCTCATCTGGTATGCAATCTTTACATCCAAATTAAAAAATGGTGTTTACTTTCGTTAATCACCTTCTGATGCATAGTTAGCGATGATCAGTATAATAAGTTGCTTGAACTAATCATCATAAATATTCTAACTCATTTTCAAGCCACAGGGATCATTTAATGATCCAAATTTTCCATCACTCTCCAAATATGAAATATTTGTATTCAGTTACTAGAAATATTAAACACTAAAAAATACATTTATCAGTATGAGGTTGTAGAGATTGTTGATTTTTTGATTGAGACCATGAATTGATTAAGGTTAAACCACCATTTAATATACTTCAAAATGTTATAAAACATGGAATATATTTCATCAGTTTCAAAATTATAAAACACTATGAATAGTCTATAAATATATGTTGTGTCATTCACCTGAATACCAAACTTTAAATGTCATCCAATCTTTCATTCAAAATAAGTATACAGAAGAAACAAGGTTAGAAACTTAATGTTTCAATGGGTAGTTAATGATTAGCTTATATTAGTTCTGAGTGATAATTGAATGTGAACTTATCTTTGATTATGTGGAGGATAATAACAATACAAACAGATTAGTTGCTAGGTATGATGCACTTCTACACCATAAAATCGAATAATTTTTGCTGGAGCTACAATTAGATTTATAATTATTTTTACTAAATCTAAAATACATTTAATGTATTTCTGATTGCTGATTATCTACATTAACGAAAGGAAAGGTTGCAAACAAATCCCGGATTATATTAAAAATCAGTATTTCCCTTTTTTAAATAATGATTTCATCTAGTTAAAGGTTTAAAAATAGAATTCGTAAGAAGTTCATAAATTGCTCGTGTGAAGCTAGTTACATAGACTGTACTCAGAGGGCATTATCCTTGCGTGTTCGTGAACATGTGCTAGCATGGTTGGAAAAGGAGTTACTAAATCGACCAACAGCACTATTCTTTCTCACGTGGTAGATAGTGAACATCATGTCAATATAGAATAAGCTTTCTTTGTTTTATGTCAAGTTCTGAAAATCTACCTCAAGAAGCTAGATTACGGTTACTCTACATAGCTGAAGCCATTTGGATCAACTCCAGTAAACCAAACTTATGTATTCAGAATAGGTATATCCAGCCTCTATGTTTACCTTGGCCTACAACTAGATCACCGGATACGCAAACTTAATATGATAAACTTCTTACCCCCTTCCCATCTTTTTTTTATAACATCTATCTTAATCTTCATATCCATCATTCATAATTCACATAATTCCTTTTTCTATTGTAATTGTGTTGATAACTCCCCTCTTATTACATACTATATTCACAAAACCATATTATTATTTCGATGGTTGAGATCATGAGTCAATTGAAGCCAGGCCACCAAGGAAGACCTAGAAGAACTGGACGGTCGTTTTGTCCTATTGTGGGACTCCTCAGCAGTGCGCATCCACGATCCCGCCTCGCGCGCGGGCGCTTAACCACTAGACCACCGGTGTGATAATGTCTAACTTCAACCAATCCATGAACTTATTATTACTACTGTCATCACCATCTCAATTGACAAGATGAAATTCTCCTACTATGCATTTTATTCTACTGGAAACTCTACTCCAAATCATTCTGACCTTTATTAAATAACCTTTCTGATTTGCAAATAACATAATTTTGAAGTATATATGTCGTAACAGATGCGAACGTTCATCATTTCTAACATTGTCAAATTTATTAATACATGCCTTATTTCGGCCTTTGTAAATTATCATCATTAAGGACTTAAAGCTGTAAAACCTGATTGTCTTTTTAATTAACATCATCATCACAAACGTCAAGTAGAGGTGGTGTATTCGAATCTTCCAACATATGATAAACAACTTATTCTGTCTACATTAATCTTGATTGGTTCTTGTTGCCTTTTAACTTGTCATTATCTGCCTTTTTATTTTGATTCCATTTCCCTCTGATCTGATTCTTGGTCCTTTATTTGTCCATGATTTTTTTTGATTGATTAATAAATTGGATTGATTTCTATGTGCTTGCTGATTGACCTGAGTGCCAAGCTTCTAAAAATTCTTTGCTGTTCTTGGCGTTCTTTCTGTTCAAGATTTGAACATTCTTTCAGTTGAGTATGTGTGTCCATAATTGATCACATGTACTGAGCTCTGGTCCATCGGATTTTATTGGCCATAGATATCTTAATCGCCTTTGTTAAAATTATCAAACCTTCTGATATGAGTATTTTCTTTAGCTTTCTCTTTTGGTTGTCCGTGATATGTTGGTATTTGCTTACCATTTTGCTCAGTCATTCTTCATCCGATTGATCCAATTATGCATGTATGCATCATTCGAAATATTGGTAATTTTTATGATAAGTAGATAAATATTTTTGGTTGTCTTACCTCATTGCGATAAGATTAAGTTTTGTCATTAAATGATGATGGAGTGTTACCAGTTGATGTCTTGATAATTTGTTACTGTTTTCATTGTGTTCTGCATGATTCAGTTGATACAGTTGAATTAATTACAAACACAATATATAATGAATGAAATTTCTTCTCATCTGTTATTTTAACACTTTTCGTTTCACACGAATGTAAATACCTACTTTAATCATTGTTAACGTTGCTTTAATGACCTATACAGAATACAGTAAACTGGAGAATCATGTACCTATTTATATTCGATAATTTTGATGTTTGATTATATTTCCTTGAAAAAGCTTGGATCAGATTGCCAGGCGAAACGTTAGATTTACTTCAAATTCATTCACTGAGATTTTTCAAATACATTCTTCCTCTTTATTGTCTCACATTAACTCGGCGCTAACATACTGTGAAACTAATCGATCAAATTTAGACGAAAGTTCTTATTTATCAGAATGGGTTTTGTGGAGATTTTTCGAAATTTCACAGGTTGGAATCATGAGTCAATTGAAGCTAGACCACCATGGAAAACATGGAAGCACTGGACGGCCGTTTCGTCCCAGTATGCGACTCCTCAGCAGTGCGCATCCACGATCCCGCCCCCCGTGGGACTCGAACCCAGGACCTATTGGTTTCGCGCGAGCACTTAGCATTTGACCACTGAGTCGGACATTAACACCGTTGGATGCCGTTGCGGCATATTCAGAAAACCAGCATATACTTCAACTCTTTCTGACCATAGGAAACTATCGTACCACTTTTCTGGCATTAAGAAGGGAGTTCAGCCTTTCAGATATAGTATTATTTTCGTAGGATAACTGTAGTGACAACGTTATGCATTAGTCTCAGCGATGTTTTAGGCTTATAGTTTCACCATTTGTGAAGTCCGCGGTTTTGTATTGAGCGAAAACTCGCATAGTATTATAGCTATTGCAGTACCCCTTGGCTTCCAGTATCGAGAGAAACAACTTAAATTCATTCAAAGCTTTAAATTAAACATTGAAGTAAGCTGATCAGTTCTTATACGATTAATAGAACTGAGACCTTAAATGGGGTAGCATATACATTTAACACTCAATAAATTTAGGTTTTGCAGTGTGCAAATGTCATATTCATAGATAGGTAGGCAGATAAATATTAAAGTTCGCAAAAAAATTACCATATTTTTCAAAACTTATAGTCTTTATAACCTTGGAAAACAGTTGGATATCTTTTTGCTGTATTCTTGCATTCACTAAGATATGACATCAGCTTGTTTACTTTCAAGTGACTTTTAAGTGCATCTGTCAATGAAGATGATGTGTTAATTTTATGCCCCGATAAGCATAATGAATGGTAACTTTGGGATCATTTTATGGAACAATACTATACGCGTATTTTCATCATATAATTGTTAAATAACTAAACTATTCATATTCATATTCTTCTTATTATAAACTTGATTTTGACTTATGAACCATTATTAAACGTTTTATCATTCTTGAATTATGCCCTGTCTACTAATTACTACCTTCCACATTCACAGCCGCTTTTGGTCAAATATTGTATGAATGTTGTTTCCTATTTTATGGTACGATTTGGTCTGTTTGGTTTGTACATAAACCCAGTCTGTTTAAAATAAATGACTCATATCGCAGAGGCTGAGATTGGTGTTCTGGACTTAACTAGCTGGGCTAGGCAGGAAGCAGGGCCAATAAGTACTCTAGACTGCTCATACGGGTTTACGTGTCATTGATCCGATCGATAAGTCACTGCTCTCTAATTGGCGGTATCGTTACGTTATGCATTAACTGGGCACATGTCACAAGTTATGACAGTTAATACTCTTGATCTTGTCCAGTTGTAATAACGTTCCAACGATTGTCTTTAATATTCCCATATTTTTGGTTCAGTTTATAGCTATAGTTGCTTTCAGCGTTAAAGTTCAGAGTCAGTGACAATAACGAATGAAGCTTGGACAATTTTTGTAATTAATATTGTTGTTTTAAACAATCGTAAGGATCACTGTGGACAAACAAATTTTATTGTACCATTGATTTGAATTTGCCGATATGACGATTTCTGTGACAATTTTTGTTCTTTTGTTCTGGTTTGGTAATCGACAGTAATTAATTACATCGTATCA